TTTTTTTTTTTTTTTTTTTTTTTTTTACAGTACTAAAGTCAGGTTCACTTTTTAATGATGAACCAGAGTAAGTGGATACCTTCTGCACGGCACAGAGCTTTAAGCAGTTAAGGAGGGAGAGGAGGCTTGGATTTTCTCACTGCATGTTACAGCTTTTTTAGGGATTTTTATGGAACATTGGTTGGAAAGCAGAGCTATCTCTTTTATCAGATTTTTTTTTTCTTCATTGCTTCGGAGAAGCTTCCTAGTAAAAGGACGTTGCGGGGTGGGGGTTTAAAGCAAGATTTTTATAAGAGGAAACCAAGCAATTTTTCAGGTTATTGGATTGTATTTTCAGGCTGTATTACAAGGGCGAGCATTTGCGATGCATAATTTACAAAGTAAGTGATTTTGAATTTCTGTGTGCGTTTTCTTCATCACCTTGTGGAAGTATTTTACTGTAACTGATTAGCAAGTAGAGCTTTCGTGGTCTTAAGATACATGAATGAAGATGAAGTACCTCAGTACCTCTCCAGGTTATACGGGGAATGGGGAATCACCTGTCTGCCTCCTGTCTTTTCTTGCCTGCAAGCTAGGCTAGCCTGAGCTGAGCACTAACCTGATTATACAAGTGTGTGCAGTCCAGAATTTGGCCACCAGTGAAACCCTGGAGAAGTAATTTTTTCTGAAAGCCTTTATTCAACAGAGTAAAAAATGTTACTGATCCCACATGAGACCTAAATGCAGCAATGTAGTCTTTTGTAGGAAATCTTTATAACCTGATTTAAATAATTACTTTGGCAACTCAACTGTTTGGGTAGCAGGTGGGCTAAACCTCCAAGCTCAGTGTTTGGACTTGTGTCTGGGCTGATTTTAAGTATCCTATTTCATTTTGGAAATGGAAGGAATCTTTGGAGCACGTCTACCTAAACAGGGAGGGGAGAGTCTACTTCAGAATTCATTTAAGCTTGTTAATGTATAAAGCAAACTCACATGCATTTTTTCATAGCCGTTGGTACTCCAGCCATGTTACTGTATGTTAATGCTTGTCTAAAAGGGGTAGGCTGCTGAGGAGCACAGAGGGAGACTAGATACGTGTGAAATACTTGGGAAGGATATAAATTGTGTTAATTTTTTTAATGAGAATTTGTGAGATAATGCACACTCCAGCCTGACCAGGATTTCTTATGATGTAGGCAAGATAGTTGCTACAGCTACACTTTGTTGTGGTTATTTTTGGTATCTGGTTTTCTGCCCTCATAGATTATAGTGAGCATAAAGTATTCACATAGCTTTATATCGCATTCTGCTCTAGAATTAATGGTCTGTTCTGTGCATGTTTCTTCCAAAACGTCTGAGAGAGTTACATTCAGCAATGGGAGGGGAGTTCAGAAGGAATATTTCTAAATGGTAGGAGGATACTGGTGACATAAAGTCAAGTGAGGAAGGAGACACTGACAAGGGACTCCTGCTTTTAAAAACAATTAACTTGATAAATATCTCAATGAGAACAAGGTAGAGAAACAGTGTGAAAAGGCAGACTAAATCCTGTTGTATCCTGACAGACTGGCTTTTTATGCTCAGCAAAATCACATTTCAAGATCTTGCTCAGTTTTGACTTTCTTCCATGCTTTAGGCAAGTCTGCTGAATATAAAATTACAGTATTTGGTTTGGGGATTTCAAAATGAGTAATCTAGATCGATTGGAATTGTATTTTATTACAAAACAATAAGGGGGAAAGACATGTCTGCAGTAAGCACTTTTTATGTAATAATACCAAGTATATCAGACCTGTGTGTCCATTAAGGTAATAGAAATCTGCACAGTTTAAAAACATAATCCATATTTCATTATGTGGAGATATATACGCCTCTGTGTCTACATGTGTGTGAAATGGGTGTGTAATGGGTACACGTACACACACACAGAGTTGTGCATTCCCTTCTGCATATTTAATACTTACAGTAAGTCCAGAAGCCTTTTAAAGCTTTTTGACTGGTAAACTTCAGGCATCCAAGCAGGAGAATGCAACTGAGATGTAACTGACCTACTTCTAAAGGGAGCTGCCCTGCAAGTGTGCGTGTGTGGCGTGCGCGTGTGTGTAAGAGCGACGTGCTGCAGCATATCAGCCTTTTGTCATCCTGCCAGGATTGGACTGTACCATGCTGCAAAGTCAGGAAAACGAGCCGGGAGGGCGGGTGAGGAGAGCCCACTCGCTCCTTTTGTTTGTAATACCCGGATTATATTGCACTTCTGCTAAATGTAGATTCTTTCTGAAACTGAAATTGTTTTAAGATTAATGTAGAACAAAATGATGAAACAGGAGTGGTCTGGTGACATTATTTTGACATGATTGGCTGAGGATTATGATGTAATAGGTTACAGTGCAGCCCCTTATAGGTTTTAAAATGAATTCCAAGACACCATTACAAAGAGAGCCTGACTCTTTTCTTGTATCTGAGCTTACTCAGTGAAACTCATACAAATGTACAATACTGTTTGGAATATGGAAGAACTGGATATAGAATATCCTAAGACAGATATAAATTGTGGCACAGACTTGATGTTTTACATAGAAATGGATCCACCAGGTAAAGCTGCAGTCTTATGAAAGACTTAATTCATTTTGGTCTTTACAGTAGCTGCTGAAAAATTCTTAGTAGATATGTAGGATTTCTTTACTTTGTCATTGATACAAACAGTTTTTCCTTTTTTTTGTAAATTAGAATTAAATTGTGGTTTAGTGCATGGTTATAGTCATTAAAATCATAACCTGTAGAAATACCTGTCTGCTTACTTAATTGAATTTTTACTGAATTGACCTGTTTCTGTTTTGATTTTATTCTGTCAGATGTAGTTCTAGTTCTGCTATTATATCATAAAAAATTTATATTTCTTGTGTTGTTATTTCTGCTCTCTCTGTTCCACACCGTAGCTAAAAGGAGATGCTGTAATATCACTTTTATTTCCTGAAACAGTGATTACAAGTCATTGTTTTGGATTGTTTGAGGAAAAGCAGTTTTTAAAATCTAGCAATATTAATTTAATACCCGATATTGCATCATTTCTTGATACCAAATAAAAATATTATGCTATGTTGATATTCATTGCAACTTCAAAAACATTGTCTTTTGTAGCTGGTCGTAATATGTAAGGGAGGGACGTTCATAAGGAATGATGTACTTACTGGAGAACTAAAAGAGCTGGGTTGATTTTTAATCCTGATTCCAGTGTAGTCCCCTTTGCTACTAAGTCAGGAGTGCTGCAGTATCTTCTCTGGCACCCACCAGTATACGTATGCAGCTTTGACATTGGGAAAAGGGGGATGTGGTTTTTAATCAGTCCTGGCATTTGGAACACAATTTATTCTGTAGAATACGAAGATTAACACGAGATATTTAGGTCACAGATGGGTTTCTTAAAGTCGGGTTTTGGCAAATCATCGCACAGAATGCTGAGGATCACAAAAACCCCATTCGTAAAATACACAGTATTGCTGTGGGTTTGCATCTTTTATTACTCAGCTTCTAGGTAAGGAAGCAGCAACATTCTTCTAAGATCATTACACAGGAGGAAAAAAAGAAATGTTACATGTTTTATTATTTATATTCACCTGAAGATAGTGGCAGAAGGTAAAAGCAAACTTGAGAATTTTTTTTCTCATATGCTTTCTTCACAGGGGGAGGAGATGAGTATGGTGTTATATTTTGCTTAAAATATATTATTGCAAGAGTAACATCATTTCTTGAAATAGTACATCTTTCTTGTTGAATTACACTGTTTTCAGTAAAATGTCTTGATTCCTCTAATATCTGTCAAAGACACTTAGTGATGGAAAACTGTTTTGTAACTGTTCTCTTTTTTATCTCATTCATGTACTAATGTGTAATTTCAGGGAATATACGGTCAGTTTTTCAATGAGTTGTAATCAACAAAGTTTTTCTTTTCCCCCCTGTCATCTGCAGCACTGCCTCCTAAGCCACCGAAACCTAACACTGTAACTAACAACGGCATGAATAACAACATGTCACTACAAGATGCTGAATGGTACTGGGGAGATATCTCAAGGTAAATCAGCTCAAGACATGTATTTCTTATGCTTGGCTTTATGATCTTGCTATGCTATTCTGTGTGTATGTGTTATGCTTAAGTATAGAAAAATTACATGTCTGAGAGCCATATTTAGGATATTTTCAAACACAAACATATTACAATTGGTTTTATTCCAAACATGACTAAAAAGTTACTGGCACTCAGAATGTAGTATGTGAAATGATTGCTCTGTTACTTTCAGACAGCTATATGAAATGCTAGCATGAAAGGACAACACCAAGAAATAAGTATTTTCTTCTTGTCTTTCATCCAGAACCTCAGCTGTAGGCACAACAGTTAACAAGCCAGACTAACAAGTGCCATATTTTAGCAACATTTTTAACTGTACTATATATAGGCACATTAGACCAGCTCTGGCTGCTCCAATTGTACAGGCTTGTATGAACAAGCAGAAAGACCTTTGCATTAATATAATTTTGTCCAGCAGTGAGAGGACAGAGGATATACCATTTTTATATCACAGTTGTTCTCCAGCAATGTTAAATAAGCTATTAAATAACTGTGTTTATTAATACAGAGATCAAGAAAGCTTATAAAACCCACTTATTTTAAAACAGAAGAATTTAGAGCACAGTGAGAGGATAAATGAGTGCAAAGGAGATGAAATTATTGGTTTACTTTTGCTTTCATTTTAGAGAAGAAGTAAATGAGAAACTTCGAGACACTGCTGATGGTACCTTCTTGGTACGAGATGCTTCAACCAAAATGCATGGGGATTACACACTTACACTAAGGTAAGATTAGTTATGATAGGTCTGTAATACTTGAATGTAAAATGCAATACTGCATTTAAAATACGGTATTCTTTAGGAAATAGTACTTGAAGTATGCCTAACTTTTCAACAAACTTTATTTGCAGGAAAGGAGGAAATAACAAATTAATCAAAATATTTCATCGAGATGGAAAATACGGCTTTTCTGACCCATTAACTTTCAACTCTGTGGTCGAGCTAATAAACCACTACCGGAATGAATCTCTAGCCCAGTATAATCCTAAACTGGATGTAAAATTACTGTATCCAGTATCTAAGTACCAGCAGGTAATTTGGTCTGTTTTCTTTGTGTTTCACTTAAATACAGTGAAGTTACTGCAGAGTAGGGAGTCACTTATCATGAAGAACTTCAGCTCTGTTAATATTTGAAGAAATAAACTGGGTATAAAAAATGGATATTTTTGTTTAAAACCACTCCACAGTTTGCATATAAATAATTAAAGCTTTAAATACTGCAGATACCTTATTAAGAAATAAACTTATGTTAATAAATATCCCACTCATTATTGATTTAAATATATAGTTTTCAGTATAAAGCTGAACACTTGCAATGCAAAATTGCTTTTTGTCATTAATTTTTGCATATTATGCGTATAGTATATCTCCGTATTGGTGAAAGAGGAGTCACATTCACCATGTAACTATCTAGGCATTTTTAAGCAGTTTTATCCTGAAAATATGTGCAATATAATTGCTTCTTTATGGAGTATCTTTCCTTCTGCTTATCATTCCAGGACCAAGTTGTAAAAGAGGATAGCATTGAAGCAGTGGGAAAGAAATTACATGAATATAATACCCAGTTCCAAGAAAAAAGCCGAGAATACGACAGACTGTATGAAGACTACACAAGAACATCTCAGGTGAGCTAGCTTTGAAACCAAAGGGAGAGTGGAAGACTTCTGTAGATTTAGAAGAATAATGTTGTAAATCCATACTGCCATCTTCCTCCTTCCTCCTCCCCCTCCCTTCCGTCACCACTACCATTGCCCAAAAGAGGGAACATATCTGGTGTGCTTGCTCAGTATAGTAGAACCACTTACTCATGTTTGAGCAGTCACCAGCTGTAACTTGACCCACCATGTGCCCAAGTCTAACACCTGCATCCAAAGCAAGCACAGAACTATCTTAACTTCTTAACTATCTTAACGCTTCTGCATATTGACCTCATCAAGCTGAATTATGGTTTTCAAGACACATTTGCAGGGAAGCTTCGTATTTTTTTACTGGTTTTTGAAGGGTCTGGTTCATCTGTGCAGGGTAGAGAGAGGACGTGTAGATACAGTGTAAGAATGAAAAGCTGCCTCTGTCCTTCTTCCAACCTAATCAGTTATTAGCCAAGATAATAGCCAAGTGCCAGTGAATCAGTGCTGTTTTACAGACACAGAATCAAGACTGCTTCTTAAAATGTGCAGGAAATATGCCTAAAAATAATTGTAGAAAGGTGGAGAAGTGCAGGCAACTTGAACTTATGACTTAAAAGGCCTAGCTGTCAACTAGCTACGTAGGGGCAGGAGGATGGACTAGATGACCTCTTGAGACCTGTCCAGGCCACTATCTTACACTTCTATGTCAGAAAGCCAGATGTTGGTACGAAGGACAAAGTGGATTGCCATGAGGTGCTAATCATCACAAATAAAAATTATTTATACAAAACCAAATTGTAACTAGCTCTTTGTCTAGCAGTTTTTCTTTCTTGGAAAACCTCATCATGGAAAGCCTCATCATGGTAGCCTTTTCAACAGGCATGTTCTGTGTTATAAAGCTCTGCAGACAGAATGCATTCTGGTAAAGGGATATTGAAGTCTTCTGTTACAATATACTGAAGTGTTTCTGTGATACAAGCCAATAAATCATCCCCTCTGTCTGATAACGACTGTAATAACAATTATTTTATTTTCAGGAAATTCAAATGAAAAGAACAGCTATTGAAGCATTTAATGAAACAATAAAAATATTTGAAGAGCAGTGCCAGACGCAAGAAAGATACAGTAAGGAATACATTGAAAAATTTAAACGGGAAGGAAATGAAAAAGAAATACAAAGGTCAGTATCTGTATTTGCATTTCAAATTGTGTGATTCTGAAGAAAGAAACAATGCCAACTGTAGGTCTGCCTAAAAATAAAGCAAGATGGCAAGTTTAATGTTGTTCAGCTGTAAGCAAAGCAAGCTTCAAATAGATCGGAACTTGCAAAATGTATAGCTACATCTAGAGAAATCATCTGTTCTGTTAAGTGTCTACACTGCTAAATGGCAGATTATAAAGTTATTCATAAGACATCATCAGAGTGTAACCTACCACATTATTCCGTTCAGAATTATGCACAACTATGAAAAACTGAAGTCGCGAATAAGTGAAATTGTGGACAGCAGGCGTAGATTGGAAGAGGATTTAAAGAAGCAAGCAGCTGAATATAGAGAGATAGACAAGCGAATGAACAGCATTAAGCCAGACCTCATACAGCTGAGGAAGACAAGAGATCAGTACTTGATGTGAGTATCGTTACGAATTAACAATTCTTTTTTTTTATTATTGACATCCAACTTCTCTGACTAACAATTAATTTTATTTGCAATTATTGTCCAGGTGGCTGACTCAGAAAGGTGTTCGGCAAAAGAAGCTAAATGAATGGCTTGGAAATGAAAATACCGAAGAGTGAGTATTAAAAGATTTAGACATTTCTGGTATTTTAAATCATCTTATGCAAAAGTGAGATAAGGCATATTTATTTCCTGGACCACACAGAGTAAATCTCAAGCCTAGATTCTGCAGTAACAATGCACACTGTTAACACGTGGCAGCCTACATCATGGCAGCCTACATTAGAAAGGCCCCTGTCTCACCCCCACTCTCCATTATTCAGGGAAGTGCATATAATGAGTTACTATAGCAAAGCACTGGAATTTAACCTGTGTCTTTATTCTTGCCAGCAAAATAAAGATCATAAAGTGCTAGTATCTTACAGAGATGCCATATGGGATGGATAAATTGTTCAGAAGGCCTCTTAGGCGTGGGCAGACTTTTTCCAAATTTCATGTACTATGTGGCTATCAAGTACTACGGTACTATGGTGCTATCTGGTACAGTGGTACCCACATCAGTGTATCACATTGCTATTGGAGGTGATAAAATTGTATATGCTGAAGAGTCGTCCTTCTCTGGTTTTGTGGTCTGGTTAATTTTTCTGGGAAATGGCAGGATAGTGTTCTGTTATTTAAGCAATGCAGTTTACTATAGATTCTGACGGGGGCTTGGTTAATGAATACATTTCATTTTATTCCTGGGAAAAAAAGCAAAAATCACCTGGGTGGTGTGAATGTAGACCAAATTTAGACAAAAGCAAGCCACAAAATAATATCAAAAGTGTAGTAGCAGTGAAGAATGAACAAATAGAAAACGAAAGTTGTCTGAATAATATTCCTGTCAACATTTCCTGCCTATGTAGTTTCCTGTGCGTGCCTTTTACACTGCCTGGCTGAACATACAGCAGAAGCAGCAGACTGACAATGACTGTTTTGTGGATTTACATTCTAGCCTTGTCCACATCTATTTTAATTTGGCTTGGTTTATTGAGTCTCCCACTGTTATCCTGGAAATTGTGCATGTCTGCTGTGGCTGCACTGGTAGAAGCAGGGGATAAAAATGGCGTGTTTTAAAAGCCATGTTGTTCACTCAGTCTTAGCACAGCTCAAAGGTGGTGTGATGGAGAGTATGTAGGCACCTGTTTCCAGTAGTACTCCTATCACTTAAATGGTAGACAAAGAACAATGCCAGGCCATAGTTCTAATGTAGCATCAAAATACTAAATGAAACTGTTCAAAGAAAACCTTCCTTTTCTCTCACTCTGACTCCCCTTGCCAGTGAGTCTGGTAAGTGCTCAGGTTTCTGCTGAAAAATTAAACTTTCAGAATATGACTTTAGGAAAAAGTTGTAATGCAGAAAAAAATCAATATAATGAGCATCAGGGAAAACAGGAATTGCTTTCTCTAGGTGCTGGTTGAAAATAGAGCCACTGCTGAATGCATTTGAATGTCATGCAGGACAAAGGAGTACAGTGGGATAAAGGACCTAGAGACAGTGTCATCTGAAACAAAAGAACTCTTCTTTCTGACAAATTGAATTGTGTGAGATTGCTGATTTCTGTAAACTACTTTGAGAATCTTCAAAAAGACAGCTGTGGATGAATGAGAAGTCATGTTTTCTTAGACGAGAAAAACTGATTAAAAACCTATTACAGAGAGAATAAATACATTGGCCAAACGCAGACTGATTGCAAGCTGAGCAGGCAAGGCAGGGACCGCCAGTGCAGGCTGCTGGTGGAGTGGGGAGCTCTGGAACTGCAGAATATGAAAGTGGTGTCCACAAAGCTGAACCAAAGACATCTTCTTTTATGGTGGGCTTTTGCTCAGAGGGTTCTCTGTAACTCTGAATCAGCTTTATAGTTGGTGGCTGTTTTGGTAGAGAAGGCTCTATATTATATGCTCCTATCAAAATCTGGTTATAAGGAGACAAAGCCATCTCTCTGATAAGGAATTAATCTGTCTACCTGTACAACTGCTCATTGCTTTCCCAAGTAGCAGCTGTAGTTGATACATTGCATGATTTTTCACTGTTGACCAAGTGTTCTGATCTTTGGAAATGAAGCTGACTCAGAGGGTATTAATTTCGTTGGGCTTGCTATTTACCAAAACAGTAAGCAACGATAGAAGTATTGAATCATTCACAGCAGATTGTGAAAGATAACACAGCATCCTTTTATATCCTTCTTCAGTTTTACATGAGTGTTGTTAAAAGAAACAAGAACCAGAAGTTATATTTTATTTTTATTCAGTGGCTTAAACAGTGTAGTATTACAAGGTTTACATCCCTAGTTTTACTGACTTTTTTTTTTTTTCAAATAATATGAAATGAGGGCTACTTAATTCATAGATTTTGCTCTGCTGTGTGTTTCACTAAGACGTTTTGTCCTATTTCAACAGCCAATACTCTATGGTAGAAGATGATGAGGACTTACCCCATCATGATGAGAGAACATGGAATGTGGGAAATATCAATAGAAGCCAAGCTGAAAATTTGCTGCGGGGAAAGCGAGATGGAACATTCCTTGTTCGAGAGAGCAGCAAACAAGGCTGCTATGCCTGCTCTGTTGTGTACGTAATTGGTGAATGATGTAACCAACATTTGAGGCACCTACCTTGAGCCAGGAGCAGATAGAGACTTACATATGCATGGATCCCATTGGACCTTTGGGCTTAGAAGCAGACCAACAAGTCCCAGGGCCATCCTTACTGCTGCTCCATTTCCTACACAGCTCAGACCCATGCCATTCTCACGCAGAAGAAGGGAAACCAAAGCATGGATGCAGTCTTTTATGTGCAGCTGCTAAGTCCTGCCTATTTCCTGCCTCCCTAAGCTAAGACCACATCTGGGAATTTGGGTTAAACCTAGGCTTTTATCACTATCCCACCACAGAAGACAGGAATTTTATGTAGTGACTCGCATCTTAAGATTTATTGCCAATACCTTGTTTTCTAGCTCAACTAGTAAAGTACTGACAAACTAAAAACTGATTATTTTTTTTTTTCCTCTTTAGGGTGGATGGAGAAGTAAAGCACTGTGTGATAAACAAAACACCTACTGGGTATGGATTTGCAGAGCCATATAACTTGTACAACTCGCTCAAAGAACTGGTGCTACATTATCAACACACATCACTCGTGCAGCACAATGACTCTCTCAATGTCACACTAGCCTACCCAGTATATGCACAGCAGAGGCGATGAAGATCCTAATACTCTGGGTTGTTTGGTTTTTTCTAAAGGAAAGATCTGACAACATTGAGGCCTCTGGAGAGAGAAGGCTCCTTTCAGCCTTACTCAAGAATTTGAGCTGCAGTATCAAAGCTGTCTGTCGTCAGATGGGACTAGAGCTTTCCTTCACAACTGCAGTGGGAGAGATCACAGTATTAAGCTGTGAACGTATGTTTCTTATCTGAAGTGCTTTTTTTTTAATTAAGAAAAGAAAAACACAAGAGAGAGAAATCCTAACCTGATTTCCCTGCAGGGACATAGAGGCCTTTAACCATGGTGCTTGTTTATGACCACTTCTGAAGCTTTACCAGCTAGAATATTGGATTCTCCAGACACAAGGTGTAAGAGGTCTTTGTCATTCGGTTACTGGAATTTCGTGGTCACAACCTGCCTTGGATTTGGTGTTGCTGCACTCAGTGGATCCAGACACACAGCATTGTGGATTTTTTGGTTTCTAGTGAATGATATGTAGCAGAATGGCACTTTCATTTCTAAGGGACACTTTAAAAGGACTTCAGTTACAGTATGTTGTTAAGAGTAATTGTAATAGCAAAGTGCCAGGAAGTGTTTTGTTTAAACATTTAAAAATCCTGTTTTAAGAATATATTTAAGACTGAAGAAAACAGGACTTGCAATGGCATACAGTATATAATAATGTACATAGTATTGGATGACTAACTATCATTGATGGAAACTATCAATACCAAACTGCTTCTCTTCTCCCTTTTCTGTTTGCTGAAAGCTGAATTCTTAGACTGTGCTATGCAATACTGAATTTTCTTTAGGCTGTAGTCTTCTCTCAAGCATATCTACAGGTTAAGCTTGTTTTTCTTTCTTGTTTCCTTGTCTTTTTTTTTTCTTTATTTTGCCTGAGAATATTTTTCCTAATGATTATTTTTTGTTATTCATTTTATTGGGGTTTTTTTTTTTTTTTAGATGTACAGGAAGCCAGCAAGAGTTGGCTTCAGAATTAAAACTATGAAATATTTTACAATTTTCTTTGTATAGAATATTGAGCTACTAGCTCAAAGTTTAAAAAATTCGTAATTTTTTTTGACTAAATATTTTGTTGGGCAGTGCCTGATAAGCTTCAAAGCTGCTTTATTGAATAAAAATATATGAACATTACAAAATATCACTGAGTCCAACAATATTGTTTCAGAGATATCTTTAGAATACGGTACCACGCTATGTTTGCTTCTTGAAGCATTTTGAACCTCTATCATGATTGTCTTTGTATTTGGAAGACAAAAAAATTGTGTATCCTTCTCTGATAGTGATTCCAGAAAAAATGGGGGAAATTTGGCTACTGGGTTAGATAGTTTGGATTTCAGAATGAATCCACTCTTCATAGTAAATAAATGATTTCTTGACCTACTGTGGCAGAATTTTTGTCAGCATGTAAAGGTATTTTCATTTCATATGAAGGAATTTTCTCTAATCCGTTGCCTAGGTTTGTTTTTTGTATTAGTATTGTGAAAAAAAAGCTCCCACCTTTACTGAGAATGTTTGAATACAACATAGAGCTAATTAAGACTGGAAAATGTAATTTTGAAAATTATTAGGCTGTCATATTTAACATCTTGGATTTATTTCTGTAAGTTTGTAGGCTGAGGCAGTATCAAAGTGAACACTTCTATAATTTCAGGCACCAGAGACATGCAGAATTATGGTTTAGTTAAAGGAAACAAATACATGAATCCCACTAGAGCAAACTTAGTAGGAATTCTGAAACAATTTGCTGTGGGTGGTTTGCAATGGTTATTTATTGTCCTGACCACTGAGGAAATTCACACGTTGCAAATTGATAAGTAATGATGTTCAGAGAAATCTTGGAAAAGTTTTGGCTAAGTGAACATACGAATTTATTCTTCCCCCCAAGATGCAAAGACCCACTACTATTAAAGGGAGTTGCACAAACAATCAAAAGAGTAAGACCCATGGAGTTCTCTCATAATAGCTCTGTTATAGAGATAGATGTGCTGTAATTCAAAGTATGCAGTGCTTATTAAGCTATTGGAAATAATAAGAAATTTGCCCATCTCCAGTAGTTTTTGTATTATGTTTTAATTTTTACATTATTTCTTAATTTCTGAGGCTGCAAGGCTTTTGATTTTATTTTGATTTTGTGCTCTTTTTTTTTAGGTGGGTTGGTTTTGCTTTCCTATAGATCTATTTTCTTACTGGAATTTATATCAGGAAACAAGATTCAACCAACATCTATGTTTCGGGATAGTCACCACTTACAAAATCATTCTGAATATTTTTTCTGAATAGAATTTAGTCTTCATCCCTTCCCTTCCTCATTGCACACTCTTTTCAGGCCTGTAGGACCATGTAAATTTGGTTTACTAATAACTGGTTTTTACTATGAAAAGCACCAACAATTAGTCTAGCATGCCAGTTATGCTACTGGGCTTGAAGTTACAAATTAGTTCAATGTACAACAATTAACGCTTGTAGCAATCCAAGATATTCTTTGGACATATATTAATTTTTCAATGTTAAATATTTTAAGAGTAAAATTGTAACTTTTTTTTCTCTATAAGCAAAATATATGTAACCTGAATCGATGTTTCACGTAGTGTTTGTCAAGAAATTTTATCATAGTTAAGGCATTTGGATCTAATTTTCCTCCTATTAAGAAAACCTCTGCTGTGTCAGTGGGCCATGCCCTTGGCATGCCCAGCCCAGTGTGGGATATCATTTGTTCCTGTCGTGCTGTAGAACTTCTCTTCATCTGCGGTTGTAGAGGAAAAAAGAACAGTGTGTGTGCAAATTTGGGACTTGCTTTTCTTGCACAAGCAACAAGGAGAAATAAGCACTCTGTTGTGAGCATGAGTGCTTAAGGCTTCCTAAGGGGAAGTTCTGCCTACGCAGGATCTGTGCAGTTTGCAAGGATCACTTACACCCTCAAATTGGTATGAGTGGGTTTTCTTTGGTACTTATGTATTGTGTGGCCTTTGCATTTTCCTCCCTCCTTAATGCATAGAGTTACGTCCTGCCAAAGGCCCTATTCACTGCAGGGTTGTTTGTCCTTAATGTACCATATTGTTCACTCCAGTTTTGATTTATCTCAGACAGACTAATAAATACAGAAAAAAAGCATGTGGATATAACTGAAGAAACACGGTGCTTTTCTGTATTTCTATAAGCATGTAGTTTTTCCATCTAGTATGACTCAAGGGTGGGATTTTGTTACATTTTTCTTGTTTGGGGATATTTTTTTTGTTTTATTTTAAATCCCTGTGTTAATGCTGCACTGCAGCAGCACTTTCACAAGGCCTTTGAAAGGTATGAGAAATAACACAGAGAACCAAAACGCACAAGCAAAATCAGAAGTTTATGATTTCCGTTGTGAAATCTGAATTTCTAAGTTTGGGGATGTTTATCTGTGCATACGCGTGCACTCTTGCTGTGTTTATGTATGAGTAGATCCCAGTAGAGGTGCATTTTCACCAAACATGATCATTTTGCTGAATTCAGTAAGTGATATCGTTAATTTTGTTTAAAGACACACACACATGCACATTAGACCTTTGTGGGTGCAGCATGTTTCCAAATACAGTTAGAAAACTGAGTTTTTGTGTTGTTGGATATTTTCGTTTTTAGAAAAAAAAAAAGCTTGTCTGTATGGTTTAGTTATCTAAGAAATCTTGTCAAGCAATCTGTAAAACCAAATCTTCAAATTTTCTATTTGATGTCAACTGTTCTGTAGCGAAGAAATGGCTTTGTCTTGTAATTGGCAATGAAATAATAATGCTTGGGAAAACATTCAGATGCTTCTAATGGGGAAAACTTCTGCCGATTTTCACACAGTGCTTTTGCTATGCATGGTATTAAGTTGGGAAAGTGAATCCTGATAGTACTTTTTTTTCAGGGTCACTTTAGAAATGGGCAGCTCGAAGCACAATGCCTCCCATGGGACAAGGTTTCAAAATGCAACATTTTACGTAGAATCATGTTCGGTTTACTGCAGTTGAAGACTAAACTGGACTGTGGGAGTTGGTAACGTTACATTGCACTTGTCCTAATGAGACTGCATTAGCTGCCCAAGATGCTGCTATTTTTTTTATTCTTGTTTTTAAAAATAAAGCTCTGTTCTGTTAAATGTCTTTAAAACATTAAGATTACTTTGTTTTAAAATGGTCTTTGAGGAGGCGGAGGGTAAAGTGGGTTGTAAATTGCCTTTACAAGGCAACAGTGAAAAGAAGCCTCCTTGAAGTTTTGTTTAAGCTATAGAGTTGATGGAGCTGTGTCTTGTTTTTAAGTTGCTTTAAAAATTGTAATAAGTCTTCAAGCAGAATAAAGGTTGTTTTGAAACTGCATTTCAGTTGTTGAGGCTTCACTAAAGACCGAGATGTCTATTTACCAGCATCCTTAGCTGACTCTTCCTGTCTGTGCGTGGCCTACTTTGAAAATGAGACCCAAATGCACCTATTATTAGAGGGAACTAGGGAGCAAATAATTTCAGCTGATTCACAGCCACCCTATCTATTGAACTGAATGGAGTAGTTGAGTAGCTCCAAAATAGTCTCGTATCAAAGAGTGCCAAAATGACAGTTCTGCTGATCTCATACTCTTGCAAAAGCAATGCAATATTCATGATCTGCGATCTGCCTTTTACACTGCAGATGAAGTTCTGGTTCTTCTGAAATCAGTGTGAGTTTTGTTACTGATATCCATGAAACCAGCCTTGTCAGCCTTTGTAGCTAGAAGTTATTTACCAGCTTCATGGCTGCATCTAATTGTGAAAACCAACGTGAGAATGAAGAAGAGGGAGGAAGTGAGGGGGAATTGGGCAAGACCAATTCTGAGCATTGTTTTCTTCCCCTTGTTGTTACATGGTATCTGACTTCTTCAAGCCCATCCATATCTTGCCCCAGGAGAGGTCCTCCAGGGAAGTCATCCAGCCACTCTGGAAGCAGGAGGAGATTCCTATTCCCATTCTGTCCAAGGTTTCCCTTCCAAAACCTGCCCAAATGCTGCTCACAGTAGTTACATAATACCCCCTGACTGAGGTACTCGGGTAGCACAGGCTTGAAATAATTATTAATAATCACAACGTTGTCACTGGCCCTTAGAGGTTCTTACAAGAAACCTAGATCAAAGGCTATTACCATATTTTTAGCCCACCTAATAGAAAGTGGGCCTAGATCTCCGATGAACGTATCTGTTGCAGTTTTTCTCAGTTAGTAAGCTGACTCTTTTAAACAGACACTGAGTTGAGCTTGTTCCTGCTCCCTGAACTGATGCTGAGCAGCACAAACTCTTCTGCAGCCGTAGAGCTCAACATCTAAAAACGTCAGCTAGGTCATGAATCGCACATTGTCCATCATCAGCTATTCAGAGAAGTTATGACTGGCTGATCATAAACTGCAGAAATCTACGGACCGCCAGATTTCTTGCCTGTGTCATATGTTTGTATAGAAATCACTCTTGGCAGACTGGAAAAATAGTTTGCAAAAATGTCATTCTATTTTTGCTGTCTGCAGACAAACTCACGCCCACTTTCCCTCTCTGCTTTCTTGCTAAGGCTCAATGGTCATTTTTCACAGGGAATGTGAAAAACTGCTTAAATCTATCTTTGTGCAGCTACAAGTGGGTGTGATATTTTTAAAAGCTTGGGAATGCTTGCTGTGGGTTGTTTTTTTTTTTTCCTCCCCGAGGCACTTGACTCGTGCGAAGTCATGTGCGAGTAACTTCACACAAATCCCTTTGTCTGAGCTGCGAAGCCAAAAAGGGAAGAGGAGATTTAAAAACCTTTCACTGTTGCCTTCTCCAGGCTTCGCTGGAGGGACAGGTGGTGTCTCCTGCCCTCAGACCTCAGCCCCCAGCATCCCACCCCACACCCAGGCTTCCCTGCCACCTGGGGGGGAGCTGCCTTGAGCCAGCCACCCAGGCCCACTGTAAATCATTTGCCAGGGCTGATCTGCTGGCCAGCGAGCCAGGGCGCCTTTGGCAGGCAGACATCCCTGTAAAGCAAACGGGCCAAGCAGGGGGGCCGGCAGAGCCCGAGTGCGTGCCCATGGATGGCTCTGTGTGGACAAACACAGGCACTTCTGTGGCTGCAGGTGGGGGCAGCCAGGCACAAAATGGCGGGGGTGAGGAGAGCCCTGTGGCACAGACGTGCCGAGGCCCTGGGCCTACCCTTGCTGCCCTCCTTATGCCACAGGGGATAGCCCTTCTTGCTCGCAGAGGGACCCTTTTGAGGTGATTGCATTTAGGATACACCTAACATTTACCCCAGAAGCATGACACCCCATGGAGGGCCCTCGTTTAGAGGGTCGAATTACAGAACAGCAGGGTTTGGGAGGGACATTCGGAGATCATCCAGTCCAACCCCCCTGCTAAAGCAGGACCACCTAGAGCAGGTTGCACAGGATCACATCCAGGCAGGTTTTTAATATCTCTGGAGAAGGAGACTCCACACCCCCCCTGGGCAGCCTGTTCCAGTGCTCTGGCACCCTCACAGTAAAGAAGTTCTTCCCCATGTTCAACTAGAGGGTCGAATTACAGAACAGCAGGGTTTGGGAGGGACATTCGGAGATCATCCAGTCCAACCCCCCTGCTAAAGCAGGACCACCTAGAGCAGGTTGCACAGGATCACATCCAGGCAGGTTTTTAATATCTCTGGAGAAGGAGACTCCACACCCCCCCTGGGCAGCCTGTTCCAGTGCTCTGGCACCCTCACAGTAAAGAAGTTCTTCCCCATGTTCAACTGAAACCTCTTATGCTTCAGTTTGTGCCCACTGAGGGAAATGGCAAACAGTGAGGTGCTGCCAGCATCCCTGGCTGGAAAGAAGGCTAAAAATAAGCAGCTCTGCTTTCCCTGTGGGACGGAATGCCGGGGAGCGGGGTCAGACATGCTTTCCATCAGATGTGGGCTGTACCAAAGGCGCTAGGCCTTTCTTTTCACCTCTGAAACAACAAAAAGCATAAGCTGTGGGAGCATGGCTGAGGACGTGGTTCTGGTGTGTCTTTTTTTTTTAATCCCTTTGAGGACCTATGCCCTCAGATGCATAGACTAAAATAGACCAAAAATAGAAACTCTGTAGGGACCTCCTGGGTAAACAGCTATCAATTGATCAGCCACTATTCAAACTTTGGATAATCTTTGCAGGGACCAGCACTTTAACCTCTGAACATCAATCAGATAACCAGAAACGTCCTGACAATTCTTTGAAAAAGGAGGGTTTTATCCACGGCTGTGCCAGGCCATGTTTCCTGCCAGAATGCCATTGCAAGGACACCTCTTGTTGCATGATTCTTTCCTCTACGAAGAAATTACCTTTGCATACTAAAAAAGAAGGAGTTTAGGCCACTGATTTGAACATGTGCAAATATTGACAGGAGAAAAATTTAACAGGTAGCACACAAAAGGATCTAAAACCTGGTGTCTTCAGATCTTTGAACAAACAATATTGACAAAACGAGATAAGAATATAATTAATTCAGATGATGATTTCACTGTCGTGTGTCTGGTATTCCTAACTCGTTAAGAAGACTGTAGCCGGAGAAGAAAGATGATTGATTCATACTTGAGAGCATTTCTTCCTCTATACATGTTTATCTCCTACATGGTTTACTTCATTTTTCCACAAATCCCATTCTTGGTGTAAAACAAATGTTCTGTGAAGGTTGCAGGATTAACCCTTTGGTTGCAGCCACGCAAAGTACTTCAGCAGATCTGTCCATGGGGTGTCCTATAGGTGAAACAGGCACACCAAGAGTCAACATTTGGTGACCTTCCTAC